TTGGGGTCCTCTACTTGGCTAGACTGTCAAAACATCTCTCACATGTGGTACCCCCCATACTCGGGAGAAGTAGCAGAATGTATTTTGAGGAGTAATTACACATATACCCATGGCATGTGTGAGCAGTAAATCATTTAAGTGACAATTTTGTGTCATTTTCCAAAAACATGTGGTAAAAAATACATTCTTCTATTGATTCAACATGCCTCTCAGCAAATAGTTTGGGGTGTCTACTTTCCAAAAAGGGGTCATTTTGGAGACATTTTATGCACAGCATTAGAAGTTTATGCCACACATCATTCACTCTTCTTACCACCTGAAGATCAAGCCTTTTCTGACACTTTTTGTTCACATGAAAAAAAATCTGTATTTTTTGCTAGGAAATTAATTTAAACCCCCAAACATTATATATATTTTTTAAAAGCAGACACCCTAGTGAATAAAATGGTGGGTGCTACACTTTTTTATGTTATGTTCACATAGTACTCATGCAGCGATTTTCTAAGGAAATTTAAAAAAAAAAATACACTTTTTTTTTTACTTTAAATGCACAAAAAAACACAATACATTGGCCAATTATTTGGTAAAATATAAAAGATGATGGTATGCCGAGTAAATATATACCAAACATGACATGATTTAAAATTGCGCATGCCCCATGCAATAGCGACAAACTTCATACATTTTTAATATTCATAGGCAACATTTTTAAAAGCCTTTACAAGCTACCATTTTAGATTTTACAGAAGGGGTCTAGTGTTAGAATTACTGCCCTTGATCTGACGTTCACGGCGATACCTTACATGCGTGGAGCAACCGCTGTTTACATACCTGTACAGGGTCAACGCTTGCACACACAGCGTGGGGGGGGGCGAGGTTTTTTTTTTTTATTTATTTTTGATTTTTTTAATTATTTTTACACTTTCCGTTTCATGTGTTTTTTTAATCACTTTTAATGCTATCACAGGGAATGCAAATATCCCCTATAACTTCAATGGGCATTGTCATATATTCTTTTTTGAGAAAAATCTGGGGTCTATCAGACTCTAGATATCTCCTCTTCCCATTAAATTATCTAATCAAACCAAGATCAGTGTGATCAGATGCTTTCCCAATTTACAAATGCCGCTGTTTATATCCTGTGAAACTGAAGTGATGAAATGCTTGTAGCTTCTGATTTTCTTAAACTATAGAGATGATTGGCACCATTCTGGTCTCAAATCAGCTCTATGGTCAGCTGGCAGAAACACTGGCTGCATTCTCAGGTTCCCCCGATGGCACGGGACTGCCCGAGAAGGCCATGGAAGGCAGTGGGGGGGGGCACATCATCTCCCACTGCTTGTAAAAGCAATCCTGCAGCTAATTAGCCCCTAGGATTGCTTTTACATGAAAGACGATCACCGGCTGAAAAAAATGATACCAGGATGATGCCTGCAGCTTTAGTCCAGGGATGTACCAATACATCGCTGATCCTTGTTGGGTATGTATGCTATGTTCTTTTTTTTGGTATGCAGCCTGTGGGCTGAATGGAAAAAAAAGAGAAGAAATATCTGCCAAAAAAAGTGTATGGTATGCCCACTATTAGAATATACCACCCTGAATCCACCCACTTCTAATGGTGGGCACACATTAGGTCACACGGTGCCACATGCGCCAGTTTCAAGATTGTACAAATGTCTAAATAGTGGCACGCTTGAATATAAATTGTCTACGTATAATATATATGGAAAAAGGATGACACCGAGTCCCAAACTATCTTGCCACTACTCCCCCCCATGTAGTCTGGGCATCCGGAGGGCTCCATGTGACTATCTATTCCCGCATAAATCCGAAACTTATAAGTATAGCCTGCTGTCCTCTCACAGGTCTTCTACATCTTGACCCCATATCTGGCACGCTTGCTGGGGAGAAATTGTTTGAATGCAAGGCGGCCAGAAAAATGAATGAGGGACTCCTCAATGCAGATGTTTTTCTGGGGAGTATAGACATCTACAAATTTTTGGTTAAGGTGATTTGCGAGGGGCTGAATTTATTGAGCCAGTCAAATTCAGGGTCACCTCAAGGACAACAGAGGGTATTGTCATTGAAATGCATAAAACACATTATACTCTTGTCACGGTATGGGAGCCTGCCAATTATTAATCCCCTTATTAATGCCTTGTATCACATGCCCTCAGCGTCCTGCTCTGTATTGTTCCAATTGTCCCCTGTGTCACTCAGCCAAATGGCCTAATTCAATGGCCTAATCAAATTACTCTGGGCCCCCTTCCCTCCCGGCCAGCTGGCTGGGAGCTCTCTGCACACCTCCCAACTTGCTTTTCATCTATGCAGACATCATCCCTGCACCCCAGGATGTCCCTGTCACCGGCCTGATTCTCCCTGATGTCCAGTATTCCCTTCCCCCCCCCTCCCGGTTTTCAAGGCGACCGGGGAGCATGCTGCAGCAGTTTAAGAGGCTAATGCTGGGAGCCCCGTTTTCATTCCGTTGTGCAGTCATCAAAGGATCTCAAGCTTCAGCGAGACCTTTGTGACTAGACTCTGCAAGTCTACTCCCTAGTCTCACAGAGACCCCACAGGAGGGAAGAGACAACCAGAGAAAGCCTGCCTGCGATTGCGAGAGGCCCCACAGAAGGGGGAGAGACTATCCCAGCCAGCCTACTTTTTGACAGAGACCCCACAGAAGGGGGAAAGACTACCACAGCCCGTCTGCCAGAGCCAGAGGCCACCCTCCTGGTCCGGACTCCACAGGTACCTGCGTTCTGCTTCTACCCCTGGGAGACCAGGCACCCTGTTGGATCCATGAGTACCTGCTTCCCCACTGTGTTACCTGAACTGTTGCGGTGGTGACCCCTCGCACCCCCTCCTGTGTCGGACTACCCCTGTTACAAGGACACCCCCTTGGCTCTCCTAGTGGACTATAAGTGGGTGGGGCCCCTTTGTTACCATTTAGTGGCAAATCCACCCTCTCTGCCACCCCCCGTATTGAAGGACTGCCGTCTGTTTGTCTCAAAGCTTTGTGCATCTGCCATCCACTCTGTGTGTTCTGTCCTGCCTTTCCTTTGTCACAACTCTCATATCTATGCCTGGCCATGGCAGCAGAGAACATGGACATATGATGAATTGGGTCTGTGGACCAATACAACCGCAATTCATTTTTTTTTTTTAGCAATGCTCATGTTGAGGGTTAGGCCCCAAAAAAATGTAAATTCGGAAACCTTAATGGATTTCCATGTGAATGATCTGGCAAGGTTTGAATTTGGGTTGGCGGCGATAAATTGTTGTGCATATAAATTGCTTTGATCCACAATCAATGCATACAGATCTTCCCTGAAAAAACAGCTCCAAAAATCAAGGGGAGTAGTTAAATTTGCTGTTTCCACCTGAATTCTGGGTTGGGCAGTAGATGGGGGAAGTAAGGGTGCTGCAGAATTTGTGGGCTGCCAATGGAGATTTGCAAGTACATCCGGAAGGATACTAGGGGCTCTACGGGCCTGTGTGCGAATTCTTGGTGGTTGTAGGACAACACTTGTGCTCGCCACCACGCCAGCTTGTACTACACTTATGGGACTCGGCACGTCACCAAGTGATACTGCACTGCTATGTGAAAGACCAGGGTGTACTAGGCCACTAGTGCTCGCCAGTTCATCAAAAGGCTGCATATGACTGTCATCAAAATTTACCGGCAAGTGCTAACAGAGATCAGGTCTGATTCTGCAAACACTGCGTATTGTGTGCAATGTATCAAGTGACAGTGACCTACTGACACTGCACGTGCTGGGGAAGAAGGGGGGAGGGTAAGTGTAGGGGCTAAACGCAGGTGCTGGCAGGTGCCAGGGCTGATCCCACTAACTCTGCATTTTTGGGGACACTATACTAATGTGAACACTGGTATAGTGCTGATGTGATCAAAGATATTGATCCGTTCAGACACTATGCTAGCAATGGAGGTTTATTGTGTATGAGCATGTTCCTGGCAATCAAGGGGTTAAATGTATTTACTGGTGTACTGACAGGCACTCTGACGCTATCTGGGAGGGGCGTGGAAACCACGGGAGTGCGAATCATGTATATACTACTTAAGGGTGATCAGGAAGTAGTTACAGAAGCGGTCTGTGATACGGCGCTGCATTACTTTAACTGAAAATTGTGCAGTCATGCAATGCTGCACCAAAATGAAATTTACGTCCTTTTTTCCCCACAAATTGAGCTTTCTCTCGGTGGTATTTGATCGCCTGTGCATTTTTTATTTTTTGCGCTATAAAAAAAAAAAGGCCGACAATTTTGAGAAAAAAAAACAATATTTTGGACTTTTTGCTATAAAGCATGTCCAGTAAAAAAAATGTAAAAATCAAATTTCGTCAATAATTTAGGCCAAAATGTATTCTGTGACATGTCTTAGCTAAAAAGAAATCCCAATACGTGTAAATTAATTGGTTTATGTGAAAGTTATAGCGTTTAACAAATGGCGGTATATATATACTTGGATTTAAAAAATTTTTATATACTAATAATGTGGTGATTAATGACTTATGTCGGCGATCAGCAACTTATGGTGGGACTGCAGGGGACATTCTGACACTGGGGGGAACTGATTGGGGTCACTGACATCCCCAGTGACACCAATACAGTGATCAGTGCAAAAAAAAAAAACACTGACACCACTGACTCTGTACTAATGGCACTGGGGAGGAAGGGATTAACGTTTGGAGGCAATCAAAGGGTTAACTATGTGAGGGTAGTGTTTTACTAGCTGGTGGGGGGTGTGTTCTTCACAGGAACACACTGATCCGAAAAGCTGAACTCAGCAACCTGGAACAGCGTGTTGGAAAATGACAGGGAGGAGAGCTGCAGTGTAAACACTGCAGCCGTCCTCCCTGTCAGTGTTTGCCGGCAATTGCCGGGCTCTGGCGGGTAATCACTGGCCGGGACCTGGTGATTGACACCTGAGGCCGCATACCTGAAATGCAAAATCACATATATATATTGTGACAGTGTGGCGATCGGTCACCCAGGATTCTCAACAAGGCAGGTTGAGGGGCTCCAGGGTAAGTGTTTGATATGGAGGAAAGTGGCTTTTCACTTTCCTCCTTTGTTTGTAAGGTCTGTTTTGGGATCTGGAGCCTGGAGATTTCAAAGAGATCTGGGAGGGATGAAATCTCCAATCCTGGGACCAGGTTTTGGGATAGGCCAGGAGACTGGTTCTGACTCTATCTAAAGGCCTGCACACACCTGTGCAATCAGAGTTCTGGGCTCCACCCCGGCAGACAGGAGGGCTCCACCCCGGCAGACACGAGGGCTCCACCCCGGCAGATAGGAGTCAGGAGGGCTCCACCCCGTCAGATAGGAGTCAGGAGGGCTCCACCAAGGAGAGGTGGAAGCCAAAAGCAGCAAGGGGCTGCTAGAGACTAGCAGTGCCACCCTTCCGCAGTAAATGTACTGTGGCTGTTCGCCAACCGGTTAATCTAATATCTGCTTATTAGCATTACTAATGAATGTGTGAATATGTTGATCTTGATACATTGAGTTATTATATTTTTATTTGTTCTAGATTGGGAAAGGTAACATAAATAGACTTTAGAGTCTATGTGAAAAAATGTTTATATATATATATATATATCCTACTAACTGCTAAAACCAACGGCCATTACTCCATACTCATACTCCTTGACCTTTCTGCTGCCTTTGACACAGTCAACCACCCGCTCCTCCTCAGTAAACTCCACTCCATCGGCCTCCGTGACTCTGCTCTCTCCTGGTTCTCCTCTTACCTTTATCAGCACACTTTCAGTGTCACATACAACTCTTCCCCCTCCGCTCTGCTTCCGCTTTCTGTTGGGGTACCCCAAGGTTCTGTTCTTGGGCCCCTCCTTTTCTCTCTCTATACCTCCTGCCTGGGCCAACTGATAACCTCCCATGGCTTCCAATACTACCTCCATGCTAATGACACCCAGATCTATCTCTCCACTCCCCAGCTCACCCCTCAATCTCCTCACGTATCACAAATCTACTAAGCGACATATCAGCATGGATGTCACACCACTACCTTAAACTCAATCTTTCAAAAACTGAGCTTGTAATATTTCCTCCTCCCCAATCCCCCACTCACGACTTTACCATTAAGATCAACAGCACAACCATTGGTCCTTCTCCTCATGCCAGGGTGCTAGGCATAATCCTAGACTCTGACCTCTCCTTTGGGCCCCACATCCACTCACTGGCTAAATCCTGCCGCCTCAACCTCCGGAACATTTCCAAAATCCACCCTTTCCTGACCAATGACACCACAAAACAACTTATCCATGCCTTGGTTATATCCCGCCTCGATTACTGCAACTCCCTCCTCACTGGTCTACCGTTACACAGACTATTCCCCCTTCAATCTATTATGAATGCTGCTGCTAGACTCATACACCTTACCAACCGATCAGCAACTGCTGCCCCTCTCTGCCAATCCCTCCACTGGCTTCCACTAACCCAACGTATAAAATTCAAAATACTAACCACAGCTTACAAAGCCATCCACAACACTGCCCCTAGCTACATCACCAACCTCATCCACAGATACCACCCAAATCGCCCACTCCGCTCCTCCCATGATATCCTCCTCTCTAGCCCCCATCACCTCCTCCCACGCTCACCTCCAGGACTTCTCCAGAGCCTCTCCCATCCTCTGGAACTCCCTAAGACAGCATGTCCGGTCAGCACCCGCCCTGTCTGCCTTTAGGCGATCTTTGAAAACTCACTTCTTTAGGGAAGCCTACCCCACCTCCACCTAAGAACTGTACTTGAATCACCTCTGCCAGATCATCCCCCGCAGCTATCACCTTTTGTATCACCTCCCCCTTCCGTTAGATTGTAAGCTCCACGAGCAGGACCCTCCTATTCCTTCTGTACTGAAATGTACTGTAATTGTACTGTCTCCCTTATATTGTGAAGCGCTGCTCAAACTGTTGGCGCTATATAAATCCTGTATAATAATAATAATGATATACTGTATATATATATATTTATTTGGTGCTCGGCATAAATGAGTACACCCCTTTTGAAAAGTAAGATGTTAATCAATATCTCAATGAACACAAGAACAATTTCCAAAATTTTGACAAAACTGAGTTTTATATAACATTTGTTTTTGTCATTACATGAAATTAAGGTTAATATTATAACTTGGAGTACAAAATCTTCAGTTTGACTCAAAGTAGTTGATCAAAAATGAATACACCCCACAAACAAAAACTACTACATCTAGTATTTTGTATGACTTCCATAATTTGCAAGGACAGCACCAAGTCTTCTAGGCATGGAATGAACAAGTTGGAAACATATTTCAACATCTATCTTTTTCCATTCTTCAAAAACAACCTTTTTTAGAGCCTGGATGCTGGATGGAGAGTGATGCTCAACTTGTCTCTTCAGAATTGCCCATAGGTGTTCGATTGGGTTCAGATCAGGAGACATACTTGGCCACTGAATCCCTTTCATCCTGTTCATCTTCAGAAATGCAACAGTGTTTTGGATCATTGTCATGTCGGAAAAGTGCATGACGACCAATGGCATGGAGTGATGGTATCATCTTCTCTTTCAATATAGAGCAGTACAGAAACAATCACCCCAGTTTTTGAAATTGGAAGGAGTTTTCTTTGTTAAATAATGCCCTTTTATGATCAACTGTCTGCTGGACACCTGTTTAACAAAAATTCAACTAGAGGTGAGTCTAATTATTTATTTAATTAGGATTTTGTTGTCTAAAATGTAGTTTTGCTCCTAATACCTTCCTTGGGGTGTTTTTTTATCTTTTTTGCAACATGGTCTTGAATTAATTTGTTAGGAAAAATTTTTTTGTATGTTTGCAAAATAATAAATCTTGTTTGCAATCAATGGCCTGCATTTACGGGAGTATTTTGTAGTATAGTGTCCCATAGAAAATGTTGGTTCTGAAAGGAAAGTAAAGGTTTTCTGACAAATCTGTTGAGGTGTACTCACTTATGCTGAGCACTATATATATATATATATATATATATATATATATATATATATATATATATATATAAAAAAACATATGTATGACTAAAGTGTATGTCTAGCATCCTATCCCCCCTAATGTGTGTAGGATGCCAGCAGCATGACTCTGAAGAGGCCCCTTCTAGAGAGAGCTAAATTTCTGAAGCTGGCCTCACCATATGTAACCTTCATGGACAAATGGGGCTGGAGCTGCTTCTTTTGAATTATAGGAGAGAAACTTTTGGCACACACTTATATGATGAGGAAGAGGCAGACACACACAAATTCACACACACAATTTTTTATCTCAAGAACATAATTATACTTTCTGATATTGTTTTATAGCCTGTATTATAATATGTTTTCTTGTAACCTTATGGTATTTTGTTATTAAATTTATTTTGAATTTTTGCACAAAAATTGGAAAGACATTTTCAGTTTGCATATATATATCTCACCAATAAAAAGGTATTTCTGCAAGTTTACAGAATATCAAAATAACCTCATTCTTACACTGTCTATCAGTACTAATGGGTATCCTCCATGTCCTAGACCCCTGTACACCTCTGTGTTCCTCACACTTAATGTTACCCCTGGGTTTACTATAAGGCCATCATCTCACTATTGTAAAATACCCCTCTCCTAGACAAAACCTGTAGGGGAAGCTTTACAGACTCAGGAGAGAGAGAGCGTAGTATATGATGTATTGCTGTCTTCTGTTGTCTTTTCCTTAGTGCAGTTTGGCTGCATGTTAGACTGAATATAAGGGGAGGTGGTGGCTTGGTACTTTTGATGAGCATGCAAATCTGTTATATCCATGTGAGTGCATACATGCTTTTAATAAATAAATATTTTATTGTGGTCTATACTATGAGTCCTTTTTTCCTTTTTTAAGCTAAGCTAAGACTAGTGTTATGCTGACTGTCAAATCCACTGAATGCCTCTAGAGCAGCGGTTCAAACCTGTGGGTCGTGACCCCTTTGGGGGTCGAACAACCCTATCACACATATTTCTGATGGTCTTAGGAACCGAGACACCACTCCTCTATCCGTCTCCAGGCGGATAGAATCTATATCTATATATATATATATACACATACATACATACATACATACATACATACATACATACATATATATATACAGTCATGGCCGAAATTGTTGGCACCCTTGATATTTTTCCTGAAAATCAAGTATTTCACACAAAAAAGGTATTGCATTAACACATGTTTTGCTATACACATGTTTATTCCCTTTGTATGTATTGGAACAAATATAAAACAGAGGCAGAAAAGCAAATATGACATAATGTCACACAAAACCCCAAAAATGGGCTGGACAAAAGTATTGGCACCCTTAACTTAATATTTGGTTGCACACCCTTTGGAAAACATAACTGAAATCAGTCGCTTCCTATAACCATCAATAAGCTTCTGACACCTCTCACCCGGAATTTTGGACCACTCTTCCTTTGCAAACAGCTCCAGGTCTCTCTTATTGGAAGGACACCTTTTCCCAACAGCAATTTTAAGATCTCTCCACAGGTGTTCAATGGGATTTAGATCTGGGCTCATTGCTGGCCACTTCAGAACTCTCCAGCGCTTCTTTGCCATCCATTTCTGAGTGCTTTTTGACGTATGTTTGGGGTCATTGTCCTGCTGGAAGACCCAGGATCTTGGACGCAAACCCAGCTTTCTGACACTGGGCCCTACAGTGCGACCCAAAATCCTTTGGTAATCCTCAGATTTCATGATGCCTTGCACACAGTCAAGGCACCCAGTGCCAGAGGCAGCAAAACAACCCCAAAACATCATTGAACCTCCACCATATTTTACCGTAGGTACTGTGTTTTGTTCTTTGTAGGCCTCATTCCGTTTTCGGTAAACAGTAGAATGATGTGCTTTACCGAAAAGCTCTATCTTGGTCTCATCTGTCCACAAGACGTTTTCCCAGAAGGCTTTTGGCTTACTCAAGTACATTTTGGCAAACTGTAGTCTTGCTTTTTTATGTCTCTGTGTCAGCAGTGGGGTCCTCCTGGGTCTCCTGCCATAGCGTTTCATTTCATTTAAATGTCGACGGATAGTTCGCGCTGACACTGATGCTCCCTGAGCCTGCAGGACAGCTTGAATGTCTTTGGAACATGTTTGGGGCTGCTTATCCACCATCCGGACTATTCTGCGTTGCAATCTTTCATCAATTTTCCTCATCCGTCCACGACCAGGGAGATTAGCTACAGTGCCATGGGTTGCAAACTTCTTGATAATGTTGCGCACTGTGGACAAAGGCAAATCTAGTTCTCTGGAGATGGACTTGTAACCTTGAGATTGTTGATATTTTGCCACAATTTTGGTTCTCAGGTCCTCAGACAGTTCTCGTCTCCTCTTTCTGTTGTCC